GCTGATTTATTAAAAATTTACTTTTATAATTTACATAATTTTTTTATAAATTATAATAAAATTAAAAAACCTGATTGTATACTTTGCATATGATAAATCATTTTATGCACCGCTCCTTTCCAGTTTTCCTGAGTACTAGATAGAATGCACTGAAGATTGACCCCTCCCTTGCACCACTCTTATATTGTTCCGTCATAATGCACGTCTCGGCATTCATATCACGGGCTTGACGAGACGTGACAGATCACAGAACTGTTAACACTGACCGTTACCGTCAAACCGTAAACGTTTTTTCAGGTGTATCTTTCCACCCAACAATCCTCATGAATTCAAGTTTGAAGGATTCTTCTGCTTTTACGAGTCTCCAAATTCATAAATCACTGCATTATTCATCAATTTGCTTGGGTTACGTTGGATCATTTCAGAAATAAAATTCAATCCACGAGCATCTCACCCCCTCGGAGCAAAATTCTCTCGTGACCAATGCAAGCGGTATAAATTAAACGAGCAAATTCTTTATACAGTTATAAAATTAAATGTCTATTCACTATATTTGTTCAAATTAAAGTGATCGTTATGAAGTATTTATGACTAATTCATGATTCTAAAAGACATTAGGTAGAGTTTTAATCTCTTAATTTTTTTTACATATTTCTAATTATGTTCTTATTAAATACTTCCTTTAATCCTATTTAAAAGTCACTTGCAACATGTTTTACCATAACCAATGAAAACCTAAATTTCATTAATTTTGTCTGAAATTTTAATAAGTTTTCATCCTTACCCCAATAAATATTCTTAAATCTCATTACTGATATTTATTTAAAATATTTGATAAGGGTAAAAAATATAAAAAGAAGCATTGAAAATTAATAAGTGTCTTATAAATAAAAATAATCTTTTTCTCTTTCTGCCATATAAATAGAACCAGAGGAGTATCTCATATGATTTTTTAATAATAACAATTAAAATTTTAATGTATCATTTTTAAAAAATAATAAATAAAATAGATATATAGTTAAAAAATAAATGAAAATTAATTAATATCTTATGATTTGGACTAAGTAAAGTTTTTTTAAAAAAAATTGATAATAAGCAGCTAGCTACAAGCTAGGGAATAAAAACACACAGAAAACAATCAATTCAAGTGGGTATGCCCCCACTTCTATCATACCCAAAAAAAAAAAAAAAAGGTTTGCAGCCTTCAGGTGGTGTATGAAGTATCCTGAGATAATTTGGGCATGAATGCGCCGTGTTGGCCAAGTAGTCTGCACAACGGTTTGCCTCCCGGGGAGCAAAGATGAGTTTGAGATCCTGATGAGTCTGCAAAGAGTGTTTGTGTTTCCAAAATCTCGTGCTTCGGATAACAAATGTGTGAATATAAAGAGATCTTTTTTCTTTCACGGAGTTGGTGATGTCTTCTGTTGGGAATGAGCCAGATCCCATCAATTTGGAATCGTGCTATGCTTGTAGACCACCTAGTGAATTACGTACAAGTTTCATTGATATAAGCAGTGCACCGTTAAATCTAATTGACCGATGGAGGAAATCGTAACTAAGAAACACTTATTATTAGCTGTAGCAATTATAAACTGCCTCTTTGATTCTAGACATGAGGACAGGCTAAGTTCTCATCAGACAACCTAAAACCTAACCGAATTGGGGGTTGGTTTGGCCAAGCCTCTTTATAAATAAGTTAGGCATAAGGTTTTTAGAGGCATATATATATTTAAATAAGTGAAGTCTGAATTTTTAAAGTTTGACATGTGAATCTGACCTATTTAGTTATATTTATATATTTCAAATACTTATATATTATATTATATTATATTTAAATTGATGCATTTTATGTATTTATATATTATACTGTATTTAAATTTTATCTTGTAATTACTTTTTTAGCTTAAGGTAATTAGTTTCATTTTCTTCTCCTACCCTAAAATTTAATTTTTGTAATTTATGACATACATGCCGTAACTCTTTTAAAATATGTTTTATGTAAATTTATTATAGTTCTTATTTATTTTAGTTATATGCAAGCTTTGGTAAAAAATTTGTGTCATAAATTTAGAAGTCTTTTTAAATACCTACACGTAAAAAAGCTTTTGATGGGCCATACCTACCCCAGGCTTAAGCTTAAGCTGATAATAAGGTCTAAACTTAGGTTTGACATCTATGTGACATTATCGAATCTGTTTGGATCATTCCTACTCTTATTTCATTCCAAGGAAAAAAAAGGACGGGAAAAAAAACCAATGATACTGTAAACAAACACGTGGTCAGTGGAATTTATGGGAACCAGAAATTAAATATAGGTCTAGTATACCTATAGGGCCTATAATAACGGACAAAAACAGAAGTCATGGTATACGTGGCGGAATATTCTTTGTGTGGGTAGACATGGTTGCCAAATTGGCATTGTCACCAAACTCGCCATTTATTTTTTCTTTTGAAAGAAACCCCACGTCTCCACCATTTAATTGATGTTAAGAGCCACAATCACTCCCTCAAATCTTCTCGTCCCTGTACCCGCGCGCGTGTTGTGATTTAAGTAAAATTTAATTCGTTTAACAGTAATTAAAAAAATATATTATCCTGGTTTCATTAATTGCCGTTCAGAGGTTAATGAGCTAGAATATTTTTCGCGGTCCACAAAAGAAAAACCAGTGGTAGTGGTATGGGTCGAGGACGAGGTCTTTAGCTCATCATAGAGGAGTTCGTGTTTGATTTGTACCGACGGTGCATTGTGTTGACCAGAATGGCGCCTCCCACAAAAAATGACCAACCTTGCCGAACGAGCCATCCTGGGACAGCATCACATTCTTGACTTTGACTTTTATTTACAAGTTTCGTGATAACGTCATGGAATCGTATTTGATTGGGATTAAATGAAGTTTCTAAGGGGATTGAAACCGAGGGGGTCTCGTATCCTGCCGAGCATCAATGTCATGCGCTCCTTTTTCTCATCAACGAGTCCAAGGGCTGCCCTGCCCTGCAGGTTCGAGTCAACTTCACCATGCTACTTTGACTTTAGTGCTTCTCAGTGTCTTCCAATTACCAAATTCAGATATTTTCATCCATCTGTCGGTCTGTGATGACTTCATTTTCATTTATCTCTCACGGGATGGGAGGAGGGGGAGAGAGATTCTAAACAGTCGATTCCCTTCTTTTTTTAAAAAAAAAAAAGTGGGAAAATAGGGTTGAAATATTTTCATTAATTTCTCTTATTCTTTTAATTTTCCTTCTCTATTTATTAAAATCTTATAACTCCACTTATTCATTTTTTATAAAATTAAGTTCATTACAATATTCTCCTGCAACTAAACAAGGTCAGTTTACGAGAGGGACTGTGCTAGTAAATTTAACATCATGCCTTGATCCAAGACTTCAAATCTATGTCATATAATTTCATTTTACTATTCTATGCGTCTCGCATTTTCTGATTTGAAGAGACTGCAGCTTTTTGTGGCATTCTCTTCCTAAATTTTTGTACGTGTGTCATATATTTATATAAATTGTTTTTTGAAAAACGAAAGAGGGGACGAGTTTTTCCCCCCGGACAATGGGATAAATCCTGGCCGCCCCTCCTCTTCAGCTTCTTGAAAATTAACCTGATAAAAGTTGCTCCTTGAATATAATTCTCCTAGTTTTTAAAAGAAAATATTATATATATATATTATGGAATAAATTTATCTATAAATAAGTCTTGTAAAATTTAAAATTACAACCAAATTTCTTAAAATTTAAATATAATTTAAAATTAAAATATAAAAATATAAAAACAATAATATCCCTATTAAAAATACATTACATCAATTAAATAATTTGAACAATTACTTCATCAATAGTTTATAATTATTACTTTAACTTTTTATAATTGTAACTTCAATTTTTTACATTAAATATTCAAACTTTTTAATTATTGGACATATAAAGTTATAGTTGTAAAAAAATAAAATGATAGTTGTCAATTAGTGAGAAAGTAGTTGTAAATAATTAGTGTTAAATTTTATTAATAATAGAAAGTCAATTTTAACTATTAAATATGTAAAATTATATTTATAAAAAGTTAAAGTGATAGTTATAAATTATTAATAAATTAATTATAAATAATTAATGTTAAAATTTTTAATAATATAAAACTATTTAATAATTAAATATGTGAAGTTGTTGCAGGAAAAGTTGACTAATAATTGTAAATTATTGATAAAATAGTTGTAAATTATTTGATTGATATTATGTATTCCCTCCTCCCAAATTACCAAACATCTTTAAACAAAATCTCATAAACCAATAACCACATTAAATGTACTTAACAAATTTATCTTTTCAAAATAAAAATATAAATTTTTAAAAATACTCATAATTTAATATATTAAAAAGAGAAAAGATAGAAATTAATTATAGAGAGAAAAAGGATAACATTAAAATTGATGCATTTAATGAAACCTTAATATATCCAAAGTGTCTTATATTTTGAAACGAATTTTTTTTTTCAAAAATACCCTATAGTTTAAGAAGGAAGGAATATTTTTGATAGAGGCATTATTGTCTTTTCAATTCAATTTTAAATTACACTTAAATTTTAAGAAATTTAATTATAAGTTTTGAATTTTATAAAATTTATTTATAAATAAGTCTGTTCTACAAGGCTAATACATAATTTTTCTTTTTCTAAAACGTGAATCAACATAAAGTTCATCCCCCCCTCCCCCCTCTTCCTTCCCCATCTCAGCTTTAGTGTTGTCATCACGGGGTATCCGGTTTTCCACTCGATTGAGATAAAATTATATATGAATGAAATGTTTTTATCTCAGCTTAAAAACGTTCCAGACTGTCATCTTGCCCATGTTGCTGCGACAGCCACCGCTCCTTCACCAACTCAGCTGTTGGTTTCTGGTTTGCGTGGATTGGCATGCAACATTAGCCCGGAAAATTACTAATTATTGTTTTAATAATTTCGCACACATCTTTTTATTCAACTATAATATTCTCCTATGTACAGTGGGGGGTTTAATTTTTATTTGTCAAAATTTACAGGAGTACATGAACAGTAAAATCTAAGTCTGGTATATGTAAAAATGATAACGATTATTCAACAATATCAAGTGTCTGAAGCTGGAATAGTAAGATGAGATATATGGGACTTTCATGCACAGGAAGCACTCAACCCTTTTCCTCCGTCCGAACTCCCAACTTTCTCTGCAAGAATGCCATAGCTGAGAAGACAACCAACTTAAGCAGCGAAGTAGCATCAACTTGGAATTTGACAATAGAAGCTTACAGTTGGAAGATGTGAATTCAGTGGCCACGAACTCACAGTGTATTTTGGCATAAGTTGTGTACGTTGTCAATATCAGGATTCATAATTGAGAGGAAGCCCCGCTGAAATCATGTATGTAGTACTCCACTGAAGGGAAAAACTCTTCAGTGTCCCACATAGAATAAGGTCAACATCAAAATCCACAATAATTAACTGCAGGGTTCTCAGGGTTGCCGTCTTACAGTATTCTCGGCTGCTTCCATCAACTACAAAACAATACAACCCTGTTCGTTGTTGTGTCAGTGATTAATTAATTAGCCAAAATATAACCTTTAATTCTGGAAGTGAAAGTGAGAAAAAACACAAAAGATGAGAACGTAAAATTACCAAGTAATTAACCTTCCTCAACAAACGCCATCAATACACACATTTCCATATCCCTCATCCGGTAGCTTTACTTTCAAACGGATATTTAAAATTCCACAAGCAAATGCAGTCTTGTAGTTTACCCCATAATGGAATTAAAATTAGACAGAATTAGCCATTTCCAGAAGGCTTGAAGTATTATTTTGATATGTTGACAAGCCCCTCTCACAATCTTCACTATTCAAATTACTAACTATAACATCTACACAACTTGACCACGACTTCCCTTTTGGGCTTCGGCATTCAGAAATCCCAGGTTCATTCAGCCACTTCACTTGACTTCGCACCTTTTTCCTTTTCTTCGTTGTTGCACTTGTCCAAACACCACGTACTCCATGAAAAAGTAGAATGAAAGAAACTGTACTTAAAGCTTGTCCTTCTACTTTATGCAATCTTATTATTAGTAATTAAGGTTGGCAATATGGAATTCTTCAGATACATCATTTCCATTTGATATTTCTTGAACGTCCTTCTTAGTCCAAGCCTAAGGAAACCACCGCCAGAAAACGAAGATCACTTTCGTCATTTGATCATGCTCTGCAGGGTGACACGTCTTTTATTGAGAGCCCACTACTGATATTTGATAAAAAGCCAAGCATGCAGAGACAGGAAGATATTTCTATGCACAGACGTAACATCATGAAATTTGTCAAACTGTGGCCTCGCTTTTCATTTCTAGCCACAATGACACAATGCACAAAACATTAAAACGTAGAAGGGGGAAAATCAAACCGACAACCATGATCAACTGGCTCTGGATTCATAAGCAACATTCAGTTATGACTGGTTCTTGGAGTTCAGCTACTTCTTGTCCACTTTACAGCCTCTGATCATAATCTACATTCCCTAGATGGTCCAACAAAGTAAAATTACAAGAGGCAATGCATATACGATATGTGGCTTGATGCCATTACATGAGATGTGATCGGTTAAAAATAAACTGAACCTTGAGATCAATATTATGACAGCTATCACTACCACAGATTTCTTGCGCCAGCCCCAGCTGCAACCTACCTAATCAACATTGAGAAAAGTGAGAAACTTGAGGTTTTACAAAATTATACTGGAGGACACAGATAGATAGGGTTAGAACTTAGAAGCACGCCAAAAAACAAATTATTTCTCCGTCTGCGTTGCGTCTTGCCTAACAAGATCCCTCGTGATTCAAACCAAGTCTTCATTCAGTAGTTTTACTTAGGACTAGAACCCAAGTAGCCTAAGCGATTGGCCAAGACATTGACATCTTCATCTTCACCTTCAGTGCTTGGAATGTCTATTTCACCCTCAAAATTTTCACTGAACAGTTCTTCCCAGAAACCCTCGTCAAGTTCTTTTCCCAGCCTCTCCCGTGGTTCTTCTGGCGCCTCCTGTTCTCTTCTTCCTCTACCATAACCCTGCATTTCCAAAGCTAACACTTCCAGTTCCGACACTTCAAACCCGTAGTTGCTAAATTCTAAAGGCTCGGCTTTTATAGGGTTTATTGCTTCAACTCCACTGCTTGATTCACCAACACAATTTGGTCCTTGCTCAATTGGTCTTCTTCTCTTCTTAGTTATGGCTTCTTCAAGCTCCTTTCTCTTTTCTTTCTGTTGGAGTAGTTGCTGGAGAAAGGCTGGATTTTTCATAGCTCTGGCTAAGAAAGCCATCATTTGTTGCTGTTTTTTTTCCGTGCCTTGTAACCTTTGTTCCATTGCCTGAAGGTATGATCTAGTGTTCTGTTGCTGTTGCCTAAGTCTCACCAGCTCCATCATTAGCACCTGCTTGTCTCGCTTCAAACGGTCAATTTCTTCGTCCAGTCCAAACCTTCCTACTTCAACACAATGACCTTGCTGTTGTGCTTGTTGAGAAAGACTCACATTAGCAGGTGCCTTCCTTCTCCTTATGTTTCTCAGAAGATGCCTGTGGCCTCTCAGAAATCCTTCATTTGCGAACTCCCATCTATCTGGATCAATTTTCCTAAATCCCTGTGAAATTGAATCCCACACACAATCTATATATCAAAGACCAAAGTACGGATAACTTCAAAGCAAAAGCATTCAGCGAATCAGAACTTCAGATGCATTAGTCGAAAGAAAGAAAAGCAATTACGTACTTAAATGATAGTCCCTCTGTCCTTGGGGTACCAGCTACTAACAGAAGACTCCAGTTGTAGAACTAGAAGATAGAAGACAGGTTCGAGGCAATCACAACAAAAAGAAATTGAAATTGCGGGAGCAGCAGAACTACGACTTAAAAAGACCGAGGACAAATTGAAAGACTTAAACTCGATGTAATCAATGATTCACTTTCGTCACTGGAAATGAAAAGGTGGGGAGGTAGTGAACGCCCAGGGAGCATCCTTCGTATTTCCCCACGATAAGACCGTAGAATTTAACATATTTCATTGAAAAAAGAAGAAGAAGAAAAGGCTATACTACTAATAACCATACGATTGTAATTAACTGACATATACGGGTAGGAAACTGGGAATGACTTCCAACTGACAGATGAACAAATAATTATAGTTTTTTTTTTTTTTTTTTACGAAGAGATAAAGAGAGTTGTACAACTGTGATGAGGAGAAAGAGAAAACTTCACGAGGGGATACCCTGTGAAAAAGCATTCAGAAAAATGATGATTTTATTTTTTATTTTTAACCTCATTCGAAGAAAGCATTGGAACACACTATCCATTTATCGATTTGTGCGAATAAAATTCTCGAGGACAATCAAACTCAAATGAAGGCTCTGTTTGAAACCGTTGTCAATGAGGATACTTACATAAGTGTTCAGTTGCCTGACAAAGCTTGAGAAATTGTTGTGCTTGAAGTATCTGGGAAGGAGACTCACAGAGAAGGCATGTGGATCCCATACAACAAAACTAGTGCCCACTCTGCTCCAAGAAACCATATGATTGGTAGCTGGGTCATCCACCACGTCGAACGTCTTGGTGAGAAATGGCGGCGGGCCAAGCTCGTGAAGCCCCTCTATTGGCTGTGGTGGGGAAATTGTTGGCACTTCACCTCTTGAATGAGATGAGGACGCTTCCAGGTACTCTTCTTTCACTGTATACGGGTAATCCATTCTCGAATTGCCCTGTAAGATGACTCAGACGTTTCTGCTTTGCTCTGTTTTCCACCTAGATAGAGAGTATTCCAAGGGAGATGAGTCGAGTCAAAATCACAAAATGTTCCTTCAATGGGAAACTTGCAGATACGCAGCTAAGAAAGAATTCGACGCTGGATCAGCTCACAGTATATAGAACATGAAGGGAAATAAACTAAAAATTGGAAGAAAATTGACGCTTGGCCTGGTAATGTGAGATCAAGTCTAGAAACAGGGGAAGGAAAAAATTCTACAAAACTGACGGTAAAAGTGGAAACTCTGCGGCGGAGTTGAAAGGCGAGTAGGTAGTAAAATGAAAAATGATGATTAGTGAAGCTTCGGATTCTTCTTCTCTAGCAAAGATGAAGAATCCGGGTTTCCTTTTCCGGAAAGTCATTGAGGCAGTTAAAACGACCAGCCGAAGTTTCGACGAACAGAGACAGAGAGGGAACAGCTCAGCGTTTGGAGAATTAAATAGGACAAAATTAAGAAAGTTCTAGACATCTAGGGAGCACTATTGGATTATTTTATTTAAAACTTTCCTCATCCAGCAATTCAGTTTAGAATATTCTGGAAGTTACAGAGGCAGGCACGCTGGTGGAGCGATGAGCAGAAGACGATTCCAAAAAGGCATTTTGTTTTTTTCCGCGGAATACTGATTAATTATTAATCATATTTAATTAATTTCCTGCAAGCTAAACCCTTCTCGGTTTGAATTAATTAGAGAGAAAACCATTGGATAGAGACGAAGCATTATGAGTCATCCTGAGACGGGTTTTGATTGGGTGGGACTTGTGCCAAGCTCTGCTGCGGATGGACCAGACCATGCAACAGCAAAACTTGCTAACGTCTTGTGAATGCGAGCTGCCACTTGATCAAAGCAGTTAACTTGCATTGCATGCCAAGTTTTAAGGTTGTTTTCACTTTCAGGCATGCCTCCAGCATCTATCCTCCATATCTAAATTTAATCAGAACAATTTTGCTGGCGGAAAGAAGAGCAACAGGAAGGCGACACGTCAGCATTTCCAACGGTCTCGGTAAGAGGGCCGGCTATAGTGGATGGTGGACGCGGAAGCCCAGAAGCATCTTGGGTTCTCACCCCCACTTCCCCACTTGGAGCAACTTGCATGTGTCTATTCTTAAACTGGTGGGAGCGATCTCATTGTTTTAGTACTCGCATTCAATTTAATATTATTAGCTTTTATCCTCAAACTCAAACAATAATTTAAATGTTAGATTTGTTTAAACTTTTTACATCATATGTTATCATATATTCTATTGTTTCGTGTTTGAAGACAGTCGAGACACGCTTTCACGAGCTCTACTGTGACGACACGTATCAAATTCAAATCTCTTAGATATAGTTAGTGTATTATGCAGGTGAACCAGTGAACTGTGAAGGTTAGAAGCTACTAGATTTTGTATTCTCATGCCTATCATCCGCCACGCGAATTATTGGTCCCTTGGCTTTATTTTTCCCTCTCAACCCTTATTGATGGCTGGCCTTTCACGGTCGGCCTCCATCCCATCCTACGACAAGAAGTGATACCTGCTGATGTCTCTAATTCTTTTGTTTTCTTAAATTTATGCTCACAAGATAATATATATTATTGGAAACATTACCATGAAGCTCCACGTTCATTTAAAATACTCAAAGGTCTGTCACGATCACTAAATTCTAATAGACAAAGATTATAGGAAACACTAGAGGAAATATGATATTCAAGTGAAGATATTCATTAATCAAACACTTAGAGGAACAGACATGTTCGGCCAGAGCCTCTTACAATCAAAATAAGAAAGAACAACAGAAATTAACTGGGGAATACAGACTGAGGAACAAAAAGGATAGAATCGCAGAGGCAGCTAAGAGGAGATTAATCATAGAGAGAAAGTTCATCAATATTCTTCTATGCCTTCCCATCTACATCCTTCCTCTAAATATCATACAATACCTTGGATCATTAACCCTTGTGCTGGCCCATTCGAATTTCTCCAAAGCTTACAAGCCAATTTCTGCCTCTATTCTTATTAGCCACTGAAAGGCAATTTTGACCCATACTAATATAAGGTCATACAAAATTCACAAATAACTGTCAAGCCTCTAGAGACTTTAGGATAAATGAGATTGAAATGGTAATGATCGAAATGCTCACGTTATCAAATGTCTTGCTAACAACTTGCTTATGACTATTTACCACAAAGCAAAAGCCATTGACAAGTGAGGCATTTAATAAATTTGTACTTGTAATTAGTAGATGCTTTGCTTGTCAATAGCATTTGCTTTTAACAAAATGTTACTGTTGATTATTAACCGAGCATATTATAATATGAGCATTTTGATTATTGTCATTTTATTTTTATTCACCCTTAAATTTTTAGGGATCTAACAAATATTTTTAAATGGTAAGACATTTGGATTTTAAAAGGTTGTGGAAGATTTTGTGATGAATTCTCCTTATATATTATCTGCTTTTATCTACCATTGTCAAGGGAGAGAAAACCTCGCTTACTCATAGAATCGAGGTTCTTTTGGATGTATTATTTCACTAACTTATATATGTGTAATTTGTTCCTCAAGTTTTGCCATGATCTGGTGGCAAGCATGAATTAAATAACTGTATTCATTGATATATGTGCATGTAATTTGCTTTTCAGGCAAGCTTCGGGTGTTTTCACTAAAATAGTTATATTTTTCTATGTCAATTGGATTTATACATGATCTTATACCTAGTTCCATTTTCTTTCCTTTTAAAAGTTATGGAAATCAAATATCTTTCAAAGATTTAAGGCCATACAAGTTGGCCAAACATTAAAACAAATAGGAGTTAAGGGTCATTCTTATTTCTAAACTATATACAAAAAGGTCATAAATGACCTTAAAATTAACTATAGATCAATTCTGTTTTTTAACTTTAAAGACTCCCTTTGTCATCGTTTTGACATTAAAAACACTCAATGTCCGTTAGCCATTAGTGAGGCCTACTATTTTTTTTAATTTTTTTATCAAATTAAAGGTTATTTTTGCCCTTCACCTTCCATTCAAAAGGTCAATGGGAATTCTTAACTCAAATATTTTATAATAAAAAATATAATGTGAGATGCAATAATGGTCAATTAATAGTAAGATAACAGTATGATGATAAGGAAAGAAATTTTTCAAGTTGAGGGATATAATGGACCCTTACTGAATTTAGGATCCTTTATGACATTTCATGTACAGTTCAAGAACAAAAATGACCCTTAATCAAAAAAATGGCCACGCAAAAAAGGAATCCTCATCTCAAATAAATATGTTAGTTTTAAATGTTAAAGACGTGATTAATTTATGATTCCTTATTTTTGTTGTGCAAGCTTAAGGCTAATATCACGTCAAATAAAAAGGACTAGTACATTTTTAAAAGGAAAAATTAGTGAAAAGAACCTAGGTAGAAGCAAAATTGGCCATAAGGACCAAATGTGCTTGAAGGACTAAGGCTAATATTTTATGCATTAAATAATTTGAAAAAATGACCAAAACGCCCCTCAGTGTTAATTAATTTTTTTCAAAAATGCATGAAATCTGGTCGTCAAAGCTATGGCCCCTCCTTCAACGAGCAACAATGCTCTTACGATAGGTAAAGGGTCACCGAATAATATCATAAAAAAATCAACACTCCTTGATTATGCGTAATCATCAATGATTACATGTGAACTCAATAACTAGAGGGTGCAAGGATCTTGACTCACGGTACAAGAGTTTTAGCTTGGATGCAAGGCTTTTACCTTAAGTACAAGGTTATAGGTTATGGTGCAAAAGGGCTTGGCTTGGGTACAAGAGGTTTGGCTTGAGGTGCAAGAATTATAACTTAGGTGCATGAAGTCTGACTTGGGTGTAAAGCTTCTGGCTTAAGGTACAAAGGTTATGGCTTAGGTGCAAAGCTTCTAACTTTGGTGTAATGATTTTAATTTAGGATGTAAGAATTTTGGTTTGGGGTGCAAGGATTTTGGCTTGGGGTGCAAGAACGATGCTTAGGGTTAAGGCCTTTAGCTTAAGATACATATGTTATGGTTTAAGGTGTAAGGCTTCTGCCTTAAGTTGCAAGGGTTATGGCTTATGTTATAGCAATGAGATTTAAATGTAATCCATAATTATTTCCATATAATTTTGGAGTGTTGACAAGGGCATGCTCTCTATATGTTTGATTTACATGCAATCCTTTAAAGATTACATGTAAATTATTCCTCATGCATGCTCACAAATTTTTTTCCATGTCGATTTACATATAATCAATGGTAGTTCACAAGTGAATTTGAGGAATTGACAAGGGTGTTCTCTATGTGTGATTGTTTTATATGCAATTCGCTAGAGATTACATATAAACTATTGCTTAAGCATGCTCGCAAATTTTTTCCCATATTGATTTATAAATAATTAATTGTCATTTTTATGTAATTACAAGGGCACTGACAGTGAGAGCTCTCTCTATATTTGATTTACATAAAATCTATAAGATATTACATGTAATTGTCACATTTACAAGTGAAGATTCAACAATTTTACATGAAGGATAACAAAATTTTCAATAGAAAAAAGTAAATGTCTTGGGGGATCATGAATAAAAAAATATGAAAAAAATAACTATATTTCCAATAGTTTTAGTCTGTTATTGTGCCAAGTGCAAACCAAATGATAAACAAAAATCATAAAATATATCATGGGGGTAAGAACAACACGATGCCTATATTAAATTACATCCCACCCTATACAAGAAGCAAAAGGGAAATGCTCACAATAAGTTCTCCCTTTTTAAATATTATACATTGTATTGTAAGCCATAACTAGTAAAAGATGTGGATTCAATAATGTAACATGGAAGACAATTGAATTGTCCTAAAAAATAAGCAAATTTGAAGAGTGATAATGTACAATAATAATTTCAATGAAAAACATTAATTTCATTAGATTTGTTTTATCTTTTTGTCAAATACAATCAAAACTTAAGTCAAAACTCGTGCGTTGCATGGATAATAAACAAATTAGATTGCCATATCCATTCTAATTACCATAGTGTCAAATAATTTTGTTAGAGTATAAATATATCAATAAACCAATGTTTAAATAAATTCTAGCTATAAACATACTTGAGCTATTAAGTTTCAATATTTGATTTTTCGTTACATTATTTTTTAATATACATGATTTAAATTATTTGAATGATATCAATAAATAAATAAATATATATATATATATGAATTTTTAATATTTAATGATGATCAACATAAATTTACCACAGGGCACCCCATATTGCAAAGACCATAGGACATCTTATATTAAAAAAATATATCATGCGGGGTTAAAAATAACATCATACTCATGTTAAATTACATCTTACCCTATACAAAGAAGGGGGATAGTTATAAATATACTTTAAAATACAATCACAATTTCATTCAATCTTTCAAGGAAATCTCTTGATAGCATT